GGGGCGCCCGCCGCAGGAGGCTCCCTCCCTCGGAGGGAGGAGAGGGATGGGCGCCGGGCACACGAGGGGAGGCCTGTCTGGCAAGGGAGCGGGGAGGCTCGGCGGAGGATGCGCCAGGTCGGCCCGCAGTGTGCCTGAGTCTGACGACCGACCACTAGGCTGAGTGGTGAAGGAAGCGCAGGGTGTGAAAGGAGGAAGTTAGACAAGGAAGGGAGATGAGGAGGAGGGACCCGTATGTGGCACCTTCTCTTCAGCGTGGCTGCAGCACGGGGTTCGAGGGTGGGGGGCCAGCAGGGCCTCGTCCCACAAGGACTCTGCACGGCCGTCCAGGTGCCTAGGTGTGTGAAGTGGAACCAGAGTCACGTCCGAGTGGGACAGGGGCGGATGGCAGTGCTGCCCGGAACTGGGAATTTTTCAGCCGAGAGGCACTTCCACATACATCATCTTCTGTAGTCACCACCACGCTCTTGAGCCATTTATTTGGCAATTAATCACACACCGCCTTGTGACATGTTCATTTCTGCTATCTCGTTCCTCAACGCTGCCTGCATGTTTTTCGTCTTCTCCCTTCTCCTGGACTATCAGCTCTTTGCAGGCACAGAACGACACCTTCTTTTCTGGTGGTTCCGGTGACCAGCACAGCGGCTTACACCCACAGACGCTTGATAACAGATGTCTTAATTGAGATCTTAGACGGTGCTTTTGCCACACGGCCGGCCACGTAAGTAAGTAAACTCACAGCAAATGACCCTCGAGTCCTAGAATTCAGATGATATGTATGGCACAGGTAAGAAATGGTATGAAATACAGGTGAGGTGAGCTCGTGCTGTGAGGTCCTGGAATCCGAACTCTTGCACAGGAGGGTTTTGAGCAGGACAGTGATGTGACTGATGCATGCGTAAAAGGATGAATCAGTGAGCATCAGGAGGGGCTAACAGAGAGAGGGAACAGTACAGGAGAGGTAAGCGTCGCTCACCGAGGGGACCGTTTCTCTGCCATCTGCAGGGACACGAGGCTCTTTGCTCCAGGGCCCCCTGGGCTCACCTCCGTTCTTCCCTGAGCTCCATCACACCCAAGAGGAACATTTGGTGCTTCGGGTCTCTGCTTACTTGTCTTCCCCCTCCCTTTACTCGCTAATAATTAGCAAGCAACAGTTATATGTCAGACGCTGTGACACAAAGATGAGAGTCTAACATCTAATACAGTGCAGAGGGCTTCCTGAAGGAGGTGAACCCTGAAACGAGTCTTAAGAATGAGTAGGTGTTAAACAGAAGAGGAAGAGAGAAGAGCGTGTGCAAAGATGCAGCCCTGGGGCAAAGGAGCTTGGGCTCGGGGAAATTCTGAGAGATGTGCTGGAACCTGGGTAAGGAAGAGCCATTAAAGGGCTTTAAGTAAGAGAAAAAACACAATCAGATTAACATGTTGGAGCAAGATCAGTCTGGAGGCTGAAGGTAGTGACCCTGGAGCCTGGTAGTGACATTGTCCTGTCTGTACTGCTTCGACAGAAGCAGAATGGTTAAGCCCTGGAGATGGAATGTGTAGTGAGAGGGTGACTGAGAAAAATCTTTGTAAAAGAGCTTTAAGATTGACACATTTCACACAGGGGATCCGGCAACAGGTAACACACGCACTGCCTGGTTCTGGCCACAAGGTGGCAGCTGCACACAGCCACACTGGCGGCCAGCCCTGTCCAGGTTTGTTTGCAAAAAACAGGACAGTTGATTTTGATCACCAGAAGTGGCTGGCCTTTTTAAAGGCTTTTGGGACTAGTAATTTTGAGTGACAAAGAACAGTTGCCATTCTCATAGTTTAGTTCACTGTGAAGTCAATTTAAGGCGTTCTCTACTCAGGCTGGCTTCTCCTCGCTCCCATGAGATGCGACAAAATTTCAGATCTGTGACTTGCAAGACAATCAGCACAACTTTACCACCTTCTTGTCTTTCCATCCCCAGACTGATCACCTGATTAGCCCAAGTCCCCAAGCCCCTGGCAGGGCAGCAGAAGGACCTTCTGCCTGGGGGCAGCCTTTAAGGATGTCATTCTTGGTGGAGAGTGGATGGAGCCACCCAGACATAAGAGAACGGGGCTCTCCACCACGCAGGGCAGAACCACTAAGTACACTCTGGAGAGGAGCCACAAGCTCTCTAAGCTCGCCTCGTAAGCGGTTTCCTCCCTCTGAAAACCTTTCATGGTGGAAGCCATGACGTATCAGCTGATTTGGGGGGAGGAGCGTGAAAACTGCTCTCCTTACCCCTCAGGGGGGCTCTTTTAAGGGCAGCCAGCTGAGCCCTCAGAGAAATGTGCTGAGAGTCTAAAACGTGTAGGCTGAGAAGGAAGTTTCAGTGAAAGGGCTTTCACCAAGGAGAACCAGCTAGCTAATAAAGAGCTTGGCCGCCATGACTAAGTCCGACAACGACCCTTGAAAGTGCAGGAAAACTGGCGGACGCTGCGGGGGACCTCAGCAAGTGGGGGGTGAGGGGGGCACCACCTCCAGGTCAGCGGCGACGCCTACCCGAGGCCCCTTGTCTCCACCACGTAGGTCATCTGAGGGCAACGCTGGGGCATGTGTTCCACGTGGGACTGAGAAGGGCCACTTCTTCCGCTGAGGGAAGGACTGCTGTCTAAGCACCAGGGGAGGGAGACGGGGCACGTGAGGAGGTGCCAAGCTGAGCACTGCTCCACAACGGAAGGGCATCGAGCGCCCACGGCCCCTTCAGCTTCCCTGGTCCGTCACTTGCTCTGACTGGCTCTCCCGTGAACCTGTGGCCCATTTACTGTTTCTCACTCAGAGGCCAAAGAGCCTAAAGAGCCTGAAGAAAGAGGAACAGATCCCATCACCTGCACGCTTCACTTACTGCACGTTCAAATCCTTGCAGCAGCCCCTCGAGGCAGGTACTATTTCAATTCCCATTTTATGGATGAGGAGACTGAGGCAAAGAGACATTAGGTAACTTTAAGCGGCCAAAGTCACACACCTAACAAGCGTGGGATTCAGATGTGGTCTCCTGCCTCATCACATCAGCAGGGACAGAGAGGCCAGTAACCTGCAGAACCACACCGGGCACCCGCGGGGCGAGGCGCATGTGGGGGGCTGGAGGGAAGAGCCCAGGCTCTGGCCTCCTAATCCCAACCCCTGTGTTTCCTCCACACACTCTGTTGTTTCTTCTACACTTGACGGCCAGGAGAGACAGATGGAACCTCAATCAAAACCGAGCAGCTAAGCAGAAGCTTACGAAGAGAAACCCTTCCCTTGTACGGAAATCAACTCACGCTTTTCTCAGCACATACAAAAGTCCTCCGGTCTCGAAAGTGATTCTGGAGAGGATCACCTACACCCCAGACAGGATCCCTTCCATCCCTTCCCTTAAGTTGTACTGAATTTATAACCTCACTGGAGTTTTTCAGTTGATTTAACATCACCGGTGGTTTAAATCGGCGCACCACAACTTGTAAGAACCTAACGGCAGAGGTCATGTTGTTCTCAACATCAGAACAGCGACGCCTGCTTGAATCCGCTCCCGGGAAAAGAGAAATAGAGTGGACTATGTCCTCAGGCCCCAACCTCCAGGGAAAACCACACTTCTGAGGCAAAAGGAGTGGCTGGTTCTCCCAGTCCACACTGGGGCCCGGGAGCCCCCCTAGAGGCCCTCTGCAATAACATCACACATTCAGGCTGCATCTAGGGACCCTAAAAACCGAGCCCATAATGTGGGTTTCAAAGCTACTCCTTTGTCAAGTCAGCAACTCACCAGGCCTCATGAATATTCTGAAGTATAATACGGAAGTGAAATGCGTTATACACTAAATTAGAGCAGATGCACTCCCCACCGAACCCCCTGCTAGAATTACTTGGGGAGGGGGGATGGCGGGAACCAGTGTTTCCAAGCGGCCCTGACGCGCTAAAAATATCTCTTCCTTCTCCTTTCATCGGTCTGGTCACCGTCCCAGACAGACGCAAGCTCAGCACCGCCTGGTCCACCGGACCTGCTACATCGCCATCTACCTCCACTTCTGGACAGAGCGAACATTCGCAGATGTGAGTGCGAGGTTACAGGCTAGGATGGAACGCACCCCGTTATTCAAACACAGCTGCCGAAGAGAGCTGCTTGAGACCTTGGAAAGTAGAGACCTTTTTTAAAGAAAAAAAAGACTGACTGCTTTAACTAGAGCCTGGCGGTAACAACTCACTCCAGAGAGCCAGCTAAATGTTGGCACAGAAGTTCCTAGTGATACTCAGGCAAATTAGGTCTTATAAAGGGAAACTTGTGCGTAATATGCCTGTGGACAGGCTGCTCTGACCTCCCTTTGCAGCTTCAAAGATCTGCTCTGTTGCGTAACCCACAGCCTAGAAAAAATCAGGCTTTCCTGCCAGCAGCCTTGCTGCAGCCACCTGTCCCTACAGGTAGTAAAAGATTAGAGGGATCAGACTGCAGTGTTTACACAACACTATCCAGGGCTCTCTTCCTTCTAGCCCCCACCCACCCCCCAGGTTCAAAGTTCATTCTTCTAAAACAGGGGAGAGGTGAGCTGAAGAGCACACAGGACAAGAGCGAAGGAGACCTGCCTATGGGCAGGCCTGCCCACTGGTGTCACGGGGGGAAGGAGGCAAGACTGCAGAGGGAGAGGGGAGCAGGGAGAGGGGCTCGTGAGACGGGCGCCCGCCTAAAGCCGGCCTGATGTTCGCTTGGGATCCCCTAACTCGTGGAAGTTTAAAATTAGAAGGAGGGCCAGATGACAGCCCCCAGAAAGCGGCTGCACTTACTTCAGGGAACGATCTTCCCCAGGACTTCGGGGAGCCAACGCTGCAGGTTTCGCTTTTTCAGAACCAAGACTGTGTTTTTCTTTTTTTTTTTTTTTAATTTTTTTTTTTAAGGTTTCTTCTTGAGAGAGAGACAGAGCATGAACGGGGAGGGGCAGAGAGCGAGGGAGACACGGAATCTGAGGTGGGCTCCAGGCTCTGAGCTGTCAGCACAGAACCCGACGCGGGGCTCGAACTCACGAACCACGAGATCATGACCTGAGCCGAAGTCGGACGCTTAACCAACCGAGCCACCCAGGCACCCCCCCCCGTCCCCCCAAGACTGTACTTTTCTACTCCTACTGCCCTGCTGTACTCACCACCGGTTTGAGCTCACAAGACCTGCGTGTGGGAACCACGACAGAGCAACCCCATCTATTCATTCAGAGCCATTTTAAAGTCCCTTGGGCCTGTCTCTCGTGGTTTTTAGCACCTGAAAGGACTCCTGCTTTCAAGTTCATGAAAATCTGCGTTCACTGTAAAATCTCCTTGTTTATTCCCCTCCACAAGGGGCATGAGCAGGAAGAGGGAAGTGGCAGGCAGTCTCCTGGGGATGAGGGCTTTTCTAGGAGCCTGGGGATGTCCTGGGCTGGGGACACTTACAGGGGTGATCGAGAGACCCCGGGAGACTTCTAGGATGGCCGCCTTTCAGAGCAGGGCCACACCAAACCGAAGGCCTCGGAGGGGCTGCACCTGCTCGCCTCTCCCACCCTCATCGTGGGCCACATCTGCCTTCTTCTCAATCCTCAAAGGCCAATCTCGTCTCCACTCCAGTGCCTTTTAACTGTGCTGTTCTCTGTGCTTGGAAGCTTCACCCCCAACTCCTCCACCCACTCTTTTCTCAACCTCTGGCTCCCACCTTAGAAATTACCTCCTCAGAGAACCACTCAAAGGAAGTCCCCCTTTCATCCTGCAGCACCTTTTCCTTCACAGCACGAAGCCTGAGTTCATCCCCCGCAACTGGACTGCTTTCCCACGCACGTCCTTAGCTTCCATGATGACAGAGATCACGCCTGTTTTTTTAATCACCACCATCATCATCATCCCGGTGCCGACCAGTGCCTGGCACACGGCAGATGCTCAGGGAATCTCTGCTGAGTGAATGAACAATGACACCAGCTTCCTCTCCCTGAGTTGCTCTGATCTCTGAATGTCCCACAGGAGGTACCTCTAACCCCATCTCCATGTGTTCCTGTCTCCCCTGCCCTCCAATAAAACCACAATAAATGCTGGTATATCCTCCGACTGCAAACAACCAGGTATAAAGTGAGAAGTTCGTAACGGACACGGGACTGCTGGAAGGATTTGTGAACTTGGGTCTAATGTTCTACTGTGGTGGCAAAAAATTAACTTCTCTATGAAATTAAAAACTCCTCCCCCTCGGCAACGGTGTTGGGAGCACCCAGAACGGAGCAGGGTTGAAGATTAAATCGTGAATTTTAAAGCTCAGGAACTGCTACCCCCAATCTCACTTTTGTCCCTCCTCCGATTATGCTCTGCTCCTTGGGGTACCTGTTTGTGGAGACGTTCCAGGTTAAGCCCCTAACACCTAGCACCGTGTGTCCAAAGATGCTGCCAGCCAGCTTGCTTCCACTCTGCTCCCCTGCAGGCCTGTGGAGGACACCCCAGCGTGCTACTGAGACCTGTTCAACTGCTTAATTGCACAGCCCAGCCAGCCAGCAACCTCTCTACGGCCTCTTCCTCGACAACCCAACCGGCCCCCCCACCTGCATCCTCTCACTCACGGTCTCAGCACCACACCGATTTCTCCCCAACACACCGCGATCTTAACATATCAACGTGCTCAGGGACTCCACCTGAACTCCTAAGCTCTCCACCTTTCCAAAAAGCTCAAACCCCAAGGAAAGAAGGGCTATAGCCAGTCTGGTCTGCATACAAACAAAAGATTCACTGTCAGCACCTTGAAACTTGGAAAGAATCCATCACATGTCAGCGTAAGGCTTCCACTGGAAACATGGGAGGTAGGAAGATGTCAAGGAGGAAAGGCAGAGAAATGAAAAGTCTGTCAATTCTCCCTCTGGGTCTCGCTGGTGAGGACAGAAATGCCGCTGCTTCTGTTACAGATTCTAACACCCGTGTTACAGACCGGCCTCGGAATATTCACACAGTACAGTAGAGCACAAGAGCTGGGGTCAGAAGACCTAAGCTCAAATCCTGGCTTTCCCACTACGGTGGTCCCCCTTTGCCCCTTATCCACGGTTTCACTTTCAGCTACCTGTGGTCTGTCTTCCACGGTCACCCATGGTCTGGAAGCTGATGATCTTCCTTCTGACTTATCGTCACAAGGTCAATGACTGCCTGAGGTTACGTCACGGTGCCTGTGTCATTCACCTCACTGCATCTCACCACAGATCCGTTTTTATCATCTCACATAATCCCAAGAAGGGTGAGTGCAGTACAAGAAGATACTGTGAGAGAAAGACCCCATTTATATTAACTTTTATTACAAGAGTATAATGTTATAACTGTTCTATCTTATTATTAGTTATGGTTGTTAATCTCTTACACTAATTTATAAATTATAAGTTAAACCTAATTATATACATTACAAATTAAGCCTCATTTATAAATTAAACTTTATCCTAGGTATGTATGCATGGGAAAAAAGCCAGTATTTATAGGGTCTGGTCCTATCCGTAGTTTCAGGCATCCGCTGGGGGTCTTGGACACATTCCCCCAGCACATAAGGGGACCACAGGACTAACTGTGTTAGCAGATATTTCCAGGTCAGTACAGTGAGGATCAAGAAATCTTCCTAGAATTGCTGTGAGGATTCGGTAACAGAACACGTACAAAAACGCCTTATGATCTGCAAATATTAGACACCGCACGTATTAGTTCCCACCGTTACCAAGTATGTCATTTCTACCGCTCTCATTCACAGGCTCGTTGGGTGTCTGCCATGAGTCAGGCACGGTCTTGTGTGTCAGGGTGTGTACCCCAAAGTCAACAGTACCGAGCCTGGTTCTCCCAGTGCCACCGCGAGTCAGGGCAGACGGACAAGAAACAGGAAGCTAGAGGCTAGTATGGTATGTACCCACAGGGGTAGGTAGGAGAGGGTGCTGTGGAAGCACCCAGGAGCACCTGACCTGATCCTGGGCAGTCAGGGAAGCCTGCCTGGAGGAGGATTCATCTGAAAGGAACAGTAGTGGTTGGCCAGGAAGAGGACAAAAGAAAGAGTTTCCATGCAAAGGGCAAGCACGACCTGCTTCATTTGCAGAACCACAAATCTGGACCGGAGAGCCCTGAATGAAAGTAAAGATGGGAGGAATTTTAAGACGACAGCAGCGCGTGGAGGGCCTTTGTGCCACGTGGGTGGCACAGCAGCTTTCCCTCATGAGACTCTATGTAGCAAACTCAGCAACAATATCGTAAGATAACAGATTTTAGGGTCCTGACAGTGGGCCTGAACTTACCGGAAGGTACAACGTTAATGAGCTCCTATTCATTTCCAAAAATAAAAGAAAGGAGATTCCATCATGGGCCATGCCAAGTTGGTTTTTTTCAGTGGTTGGGATAGCTGCTTTGTTAATTACCTTATTGGGACATACTCTCTTATAAGTATCAGCACAGTTGCTGGAGTCGCGCGGGCAGGCTGTGGTAATACGCGCCATCAATATCAGGCTGTAATCTGGTGACCCACAACAAGGTACCAGGAGAAGGCCCAGTACTAGGGGATGTACCACAGAAGACAGCAGACCAAATGAAACTGGGTGGCCCCGCAGGACGAACATGCCTCCAAAGAAGAGTCATTTATGGAAACTGAAAATGATACAAATCAAAAGCTTGGGCTTAGGAGCCAGACTGCTGTGATTTGAATCCTGGCTCCCCCCCCTCCCCCCCCCTTACCAGGCTGCATCATCTTGGGAGAAATGAGTTGACTTCTCCAAGCCTTAGTTTTCTACCAGAAAAATGGGTATGATGATAGCACCTGCCTCACAGGATTGTTTATTAGAAGAGATAACCAAGTCAAGGACTTTGCACAGCGCCTGGCACCCGCTGCTCAGCTGACAGCGCCAGCCCCTGTTGTGACTGCCATCATCAGGACTCTCTGGCACCTGGACTAGAGCAGGTCTCCTCTCACCCATGGCTGACATCAGTGAAGAGTGGAGACCCGAACCCAGAAATGAGTTACCCGTTAACCCTGACCCCAGAACACTGACGCCACGGGAAATGCAACCACAGCGACCTGGCATTCTGGGTTAGTCATGGTTGGTACGTATTAGGTCATAGCTAACTGACACTTTATCATTATGGTGGGGATACTTCTGTTTTGCAAGACAGAGCTCTCAGTTAAATCAGCCCAGGACGAAGGCTACCCTGGAAAAGATTCCTAATCTCTCTAAAACACTGTTTGCGGGCCCTGTGCTGGCTTTTTAGACAGTCCTTCACGGTGACACAAGGGTGTATTTCATTAGAGCCTTCTCTTCGAGATAGCTGCCTTAAAAGTTAAAGGATGTACTACCTCAGATATCTCGTATTTTCCTTCCTAACCCGTTAAATAATCCCAGTGCCTGTGAGTATGTCCCAACTTTATTTGCTGTTTGCATTTAAACTCATTTTAAAGCTATCTGTATCGGTGGCACGTTACCACCTCTGCAGACACGAGGTTCTGTACAGGGGCGACTCACTTGTAAAGCAGCCTCCTCAGGACTCCCAGGGCTCACGTGCTGGGATCTGGTAAGCTAACTTCATCCTCATTCCATAGCGTTTATGATCTCACCATCTTATTTCCTACAGATCTATCCCGGGAGCTAACTTTTAAAAAGAGCTGTGGGCTGAGGCACTTGATGCACAGCACGGTGGTGGCCAGTGGGAAGCGTCTGTCTTCCTCCCACCGTGACGGTAAGGAAAATAACAAGTTATAGCAGTGCTTTCGGACTCTCCTCCCTTGCTCCTGGCAAATTAATGGATGCCAAATAAACCAACCCGCTAGGACTGGCCATTCCATAGAGGGAAAGGCAGCCCTGGGCTGGGAGAGGTTAGTATTGGTGGGGCTCCTCTGGGCCGGAGAGGGGGGCACAGGTAAGGACGGGGGGAGCTGCTTCTCAAAGGCAGGGTAACAGGAAACATGGCAGGTATGGGGAGTAACAGGCTGACTCTTGCTGAAGCACAGACACTTGAGAGGGGACAGCAGCAAGAGAAAAACTCTGGTTGTTTCACTGTTTTTCTGAAAATCATTCACTCAAACAGAATGCCTCTTTTGAATATTGACAGTACAAGAGTATCAATTTAGTTTCTGCTGAATTTTTTCGGTAAAGTGATCCTTAAGTGCCTAAGCATTTGCTGGCTAGGCTTCTAAAGTGCTATAGCATTATTCCCTAGGAGCAGGGAATTTAGAACAAAGGGGACGCTGGGGACCACCACAGAGGGAGTCTCCTGAAGGTCAAGGGGGAATTTGCTCCGTAAGCAGCTAGTCAGCTCATCTGCTTCCTGTGAGTCAGGCTTCCTCTGAATGATCTCCGGAATGCCCCTCATCCCTGACAGGAGCTAACGGCTTTTGACACTCTAGCCCTAGATCCAGCGTCTGGTGAACTTCGTCAGCGGTCATACCCTGGAAAGGATTATTCAGAGAAGCTGCAAAAAACTGTCTTCCCAGATTTCTGACAGAGTGGTGGATACTGAACGACATTCAAAGTTCTAGATGAAAATCACAGATTCTGGGTAAAGACAAACACTTTCTACATAATCTAATAAAATCAACCTATTTTACAAACAGGAAGTTAAGGCTCAGATGGAAAAAAAAAAAGGTATGAGAATTAAACCATCGTTAATGTCTAGTGGTGACCAAAGGCGAGTCTTTCAATCAGGTTGTACATTTTCCATTCAACTGGCTGTATGCTGCGCTAAGAGGCAGATGTGGTAATTCGGTTTACTGTTAACACACGGTTGCAAACCTGTCTCTAAGCTGGGATCCCATCAGGCCTTAAAAACTCATGGGAATTTAGGGAGCTCATTAATTAGGCTGGAAGAGGTGATCAAGCTCCTTTACCTGAGGTTTGACCTAATCGCCACCGTGAACCAGGGACACTCGATGCCAAACATCAGTACGCGCTGCCCTGGGCAAAAGCACCTGTACGCTAAGGGCTCCCATGGCAGGGCCTGATGGCGGCCACTTGGGAAAGTGACCGGATTCTGACAAAAGTTTTCTTTCAAAGCCCACTGTGCCCAGGCCGCCCCTCTGTCAGCTCTGGGAGGATGGAGTCCTTAGCAGGGAATTCCGTTTGAAACACAAATGCATTGCACGTGAGTAATCATCATAAGCCTTAAAAATCGAACCATATTCATCAAATTAGATGACCGACACGTATCTTGGCATGCAGTTTCTCTTGGTGCATATTACTGTTCATTCTTTCACTGTACTAAGATACATTGCTGAAACTTTCTTGGAAATCAAACCTACAAATTAAAGGAAAAACAAGAGAACAGAATGAAAGGAACTGTCTCTGATATCCCGCTTTTGAATTTAAATGATGACTCAGGAGGTTTAAAAATTATCACATGAATAGGTAAATAATAAAGGGAAAAATGATAAAATGCTAATTGTAGAATCTAGCTGGGGTATATGAGGGGGTTCACTGTAAAATTATTTCAACCTTACTATATACTTGATATTTTTCATAATGAAATGTTGGAAAAAAAGTGTATCACATCCTCCACACAGATACCAATATCCCCCCAAATTCATGGACTCTTACAGCTAAACATAATAGCAAAAGGTCTTGAAGTATAAAATAAAGGAAGCACTAAAAATTAACAGGGGAAAGATAAATGATTTCATACAGGACGTTGGGTGATTGACCACATGAAAAAAAAATCCCTTATACCTAACTTCTAATTTGGTGAGTTTAATATACAAAATGAAATTATTTTTCAGAAGAATATCTTCTAACTTCTGGTCAGGAAGGAATTCCAAAGCGCAAGTTAACAGGAGAGTCACAAAGAAAAGAAAAAGACAAAAATCACTTATTTAACTAAATAGAAGGTAAACATTCTGTGTCTCAAAAGAATCATAAGCAAAAATTAAAAATCAAAAAAGGTGAGAAAAATATTTGCCCAAATATTGCTAACACACACACACACACACACACACACACACACACACCTACCTCAAAAAAATTACAGAAACAGTCACACTTCCATAGAAAAGTTGATAATGGATGTGAACAGAAATTTACAAAAAGAAACTGGGTTAAGAAACACACAAAAAATTTAACCTTTACTGGAAGCAATTACGGAATGCCATGAACCTAGCACAGAGAGGGCAGCCACTGCCTAGCTGTCGAATAAGTGAGCCAAAAATAATGTAACATTTTTCTCTAAAGATTTTTTTAAGAGGTAATACTCAACACTGATGAAGATACAGTGAGATGGGCGTTTCATTCATTGCTAGAATGTGGGTGACCTGGTACAAGTTTTCTAGGAAACAATCTGGCAAAGAGGCATCAAGAATCTTTAAGAAGTTTAATTCTGGGCTTCCTGGCTGGCTCAGCTGGTACTGCATGCGACTCTTAATCTCAGGGTTGTGGGTTCGAGTCCCCTGTTGAGTGTGGCGCCTACTTAGAGTAAGAAAAATAAAAATAAATAAATAAAAAGTTTAATTCCTTTAACTTAATAAACTCACTACAAGGAATCTATCCTAAGGAAGTATTTTAGTATATTATTTAATATTAACATGTTATGTTAATATGTCATTATTATTAATACATATTAATATTATTGCATTACTTTACTATATTTTAATGAAAAATGTCCAAGATTCACACTTCAAAGGACAATTATTATAATGTAAAACTGGCTTTTAAAAAAAATGGAAGCTGACTAAACACTCTCAGATTGGAGAATATAACACACTGTTAAAAAGGTTTTTAAAGGCATTTTTAAGAAGCACTTGGAGAAAATGCTCATTGAAGAAATGGGATATAGAAGGTCCTACACAGAATGATGCTAATTCTGTAAACACTGTGTGTGTGCAGGAAGATGCTGGAGGAGAATACAAATGTTAAGAGCTTTGGGTGATGAGATCAGGGATAATTCATATTTCTTCTTTATACTATTTCATATTTTAAAGGCGTTTTATTACAAACAAGTTAGAAAAAAGAGAAAATACCATGTAACAATTTGGAAGAGATCCACTGCTTCAGAAACAGGTCTCGCACCAGTCAAGACCACCCACCGGTAAAATAATGACTGTGAGCTGGTGTTGAAGGTCTACACCTCCAGCTCCACAACCGTGCCCACCACTCTGCCCCTCCCCCGGTCTCCTGCACACCTGCCTGTCTGTGTGCACTCTGCTACGTCCAAATGCTGCCTCATCTTCCCTCAGCCCTGCTTTTCGTCTGGAAGTCCCTCTTGTGGTGAATGATACCACTTAATAACCTAAGCCACTGTCCTTACTCCCCTTTGCCCTTTCCCACCTCACCAACCTCTCCCGCATCCCCCGCCGCAGGGGTCCTCGTCGTTTCTCCACTGGAGGGCTCCCACGAGGGCAGCTCTCTTTCCATCTGGTCTCCTGGCCTTGTCTGACCTGCCAGGCTCCCCTTCCCCCCAGTTCATTCTCTTCACTGCAGCTCCTGTGAGCTTTCCAAAGTGCGTCTGCCCACGTTACCCTCCCAGACAGAGACGTTCAGGCTAAGGTGGTGTGGTGTCTTAGAACCGTTGTCAGGGACTCCCTTCCGGCTTCACCTTCTCTTAACTGTTCCTCTCTCACACCCTCCACTGTAGCTCAGGCGCCGAGCCTCTGACCCAGCGTCTCGCCACAATGCTTGCCTCCCTTGTCTGGCTAACTCCTAGCTAACAAGAGTCAATTCAGACATCCCTTTCATCAGGAGGCCTCACGGATGGCAGCTAGGTGTTACCAGGTCCCACGGCAGACTGATTTTACGCAACCGCGGCCCCCATCGCACACCGTGATCTCTGTTTTTGTGCCTTTGCCTCCTCTCCCAGAATGTGAGGCCTCGCAAAGGAGGCCCTCAGTGTTTGCTGAATGAATTAATAAACGTTTCCACCATCTCAGACGCAGTTACCTATTCTCATCTTGGGAAAGATCTCAACCCAAGATCTCATCAACTCCCTCGGCCAGCCACTCATCTACTTGATAATCTTGGCAACGGAAGTAGTCTTTCTTATCTATTCATCAGCCAACAAATTTATTATATACCTTATGTTCTTTGAAAAAATTTTTTTCATGTTTATTTATTCTTGAGAGAGAGAGACACAGACAGAGACAGAGTGCGAGCAGGGAATGGGAAGAGACAGAGGGAGACAGAATCCGAAGTAGGCTCCAGGCTCCGAGCTGTCAGCACAGAGCCTGACGCGGGGCCTGAACCCACGAACCATGAGATCATGACCTGAGCCGAAGTCGGACACTTAACCGACTGAGTCACCCAGGCACCCCAATATGCTTTTTTAAAAAAAATTTATTTATTCATTTTGAGAAAGAGAGAGGGAGTGCAAGTGGGAGAGGGGCAGCGAGAGAGGGAGACACAGAATCCGAAGGCACCTACAGGCTCTGAGCTGTCTGCCAGCACAGAGCCCGACGTGGGGCCTGAGCCTCTGAACTATGAGATCATGACCTGAGCCAAAGTCAGACGCTTAACCAACTGAGCCACCCAGGCGCCCCTATATACCTTACGTCCTGACAATATCTCTTTGGTTTTACGTGAATCCATTTGCTCCTGCCCAGCCTATCGTGGAAGTGTTACCAAAGTCCTCACACAAGACAGTCATCTAAAACACTGCAATTTACTGAAAAGCAAGGCAGTGTGCTGGGCCCCAGGAATCTAAAGATAAATCAGACTCCCACTACTCACAGACCATTAGCAAGAAATCCCTTAGACTTTTTCAGGCTAAAACTCTCAGCCACTTTATCTTTTGCTGGAAGAGTATACAACTTTTGTTGCTTGTGTATCTGCTCTTTATAATCACCCCAAATCTTTTTTTCAAATGTGACTCAAATTGGACACAATAACGAGTGTGACTAATGCAAGCCTTGTTTTCTTACCCTTTTATGTCATACTTCTGTTAATACAGCCAAGACTCATATGTCTATTTTTTTCCACAACAGACTTACAGTACTGACTTGAATTGACTTGATGGGCAGTGAGGACTATAGTTCTTTTTAAATGGTGTTTTTCTGTACTCAAGTAAACTACCTTCCATCTATCCCCACCAGATTTCTTCTGCTAATGGAGAACCATTTTCCAGTTTGTTACACTTGTTTTCAATTACATTTCTGGAGTCTGGATGATTTGTAGTCCTAATTTGGTAACGTACACAATGGAAAAGGAAAAAAAAAAAAAAGAAAAGAGATTTCATTATGTATGTGAAAAATCCTCCCCAACTGTTAACCATGAGTCTTAAAGTCTCTACAACGATACATGGTTAAATGTTTAGGGATCCTGCGGTATCTGTTTGGAGGTTCTGAGAATATTATCCATTCTCCTTACTTATTTAGTATCAGCCACATATTTTCTCCACTCCACCTTTCTTCCTTCCCTTTTTCAGGCTTTGCACCCCCTACCTAGCAAACAGAGAATGACTTCTTTCTGACTCGGGTGCCTCCTCTTTTAAATCATAGTGTTTACTAGGGAACTCAGGTATGGCAGAATCATGGTAAGGTCTGGCTCTGGGCTGTGTCCTTAACCTGGGGGCCCCAGATGAGCCCTACTGAGCTGCAAATGTCCTGAAATGTAGGCAACTTACTGTGAGTGTGCTAAGTGGGCTCATAGCTTCCATCATCATCTCAAAGGGGCCCAACACCCTGAAAAGGTTAAGTACCTCAGCTCTAAGGCACTCAGACACAATAAAGCAGTAAACCGAATAAGCAGCACTAGAATGACCGATTCAACTTTCTACTCTGCCATTTCCAAAGAGAAAGAGAAATTCTGCCACAATTCTACATTAAGCATCTTCTGCGTTAATGGAGACCGTAACTTCAAGGTGTGATTTGGGAAACCCAACGTACACGAAAAGATAAGAGGCGATAATCTAACACTTCGAGTGTTAATCACTTCAAATAGCTTTCTATTTTTAACAAAGTTCAGTAATACTTTCTTTGTCCTCTTTTGATACCTTTAGTTTATCTGGTAATATTGCTTTAAAACCCAAACATCAGGAATCAAAAAGCTTCTCTGCACACAAATGTTACTAACCAAACACACATGCCTTTCACCAGCCATTAGTAACTTTATTATTTTTGCCAGAACGTACTGTTATCTTCCATACGTGTGTTTTAAAGAACATCACGAAAACCCTTAATGTAAGTATGTCAAAATCAACACTGCCTTTGGGACGATATGCTGCAAAAATCAATCTATCTTAACTCCTAACTTCTATTGTCGTCTGTAGGTTATACCATCTTTTAGAATTATCACCACATCCACAGTATTTTCTACAGGTAAATGTGAAATGTAGTATAAATGGGCCAGGAAAAGATGCTCTTTAAAGCCTTTCCTAGGACGAAAAGCCATTTAGAAATTTAGAAGCAAGAACCAGTGGAAATCGGAAACTGCTGTCATCCATACTCACCACTGAGCAGTGCACAGAGGATTCTGGAGCACGGGCTGGTCTTGTCCTGGAAACAAGCGATTGAATTCCGTCAGGAAAACAGGCAAGCAGAGACAGCAAACGGCAACACTACCTTTCTCCAACTCCTCTTATTTGCAGACACACACATTTTGGAATCTTCCAGGACTAACAATGAAAACCACACTAGGTTGTTTTCCCAATTCCTATGAAATGAGTCAGTAGGTCAAACAACTTATCCGCTTGGGAGAGAGAACAGTTCCTTAAACTGCACTCACTGTTTCCAGTAACTGTCTTTCCCTCTCTTCGCCCCCCGGATAAAAGGGTGGCCAGTAATCTACGGAGGGCTCACCGGGTTCTGAATGAGACACATCGCAGGCAATGCCAGAAGGTTAGTCTTCTTCCAGTTTCTCCTTGTGAGTATTGAGGAGGAAAAAAAAAATCCAGTTAGGAGTAAGACGTGGATGAAGTTTCTTCATTTAAAAAGAGCTGCCATAACTTTTTCTCTGTTGAGACCGTACATTTGTTTCTATCTTCTAAGAGGGCAGAACAGTACTTTACATATAGAAGAGCAGTAGCTGTAGCTCTAAAAGCCCCCCACAAACCGCTTCCTTCTGTAAAACGTCCTTTCCTCCTCAAAAGGACTAGTGTAACTCAGAAAAATAAAAATAAAAAAATCCAATGGTTATTCAGTTACTCCACATTCTGAAAAACGCTTCACAGGCTTCTGTGAATCCTGTGGTTCCATCCACTAAATCGTATAAAGCAGTAGCATTTAAGAGCTTGCTGGCAGCCTTCTGAATCCACAACTCAAGACCATGAACACTGGTTTAGCAAAAATCATCGGAATCTACCACCTACTCACCGGACAGAACATTTCTTCTAGTTAGCGACCTTCTGCATCGGAAACCACCAGCCACCGGCAACGAATCCATTAATTCTGAGAACTCACGCGTTTCAGGCAAAATACACAGACGTGTGTCTCTAAACACAGGTACGGAGATCTTCTGTGACAGTTCTTCGTGAAGAGACTGGAAATACTTTTGCTTTCTGTATCGAGAGTACTTTCTTTTTAAAGAGGAGGTTTCGTTTTGATCTTGAGAAATTTCTGATAAAACCACCAACTGAAAACCTGCCATTATGAGTGAGGGATTTCACAACGTTCATTCCAGAAAAACTGTGGCTATTCATTTCTGGAAGTGATTCACTGCGAAAGAATCGCTGTTGGCGGTGGAGGGAGCATTCATTTTTAGAAGGCAGCCTGCCCTCGGAGCAGCGAGCAGAACCCTCAGACACAGCAGCCACGTGCCTTGCTGACCCCACCGCAGCAACCTGAATCACCCTCCCTCTCGAGATGACGCGTACTGACCAATTTCCTCTTATGACTCCCTGGCTCTACAAAACCCCTTTGGTCTATCACACCCTGAATTAATCCTCTGCTCTGGTGGAAATGTGCAAATAAATCTGGGAGGGCTGCAGCCCTATTCTCCACCTGTCAACGCTCAGTCGCTGGCGAGAAACCAGCATATGGATACTCACTTCCTGTGAGTATTTCTAAAAGAGCTTATGATATTTCCTTCGGAAAAAAAAAAAAAAAAGTGGGAGGCAAGCAACACAGGGACAAGAAGTAACTCCAACACGCAAAACTAAAAGCATGCAACGCGATCACTGTTTACCAGCCACGCCTAATTTTAATTTGGTTTCTCAACCCCTGTGTAATTAAGACAGCCAAGAGAACAGCATCAGGAGAAAGAAGGGGGGGAAAAAAAAGACATTTCACAAATGCTTAGACCTTCAGTGCGCGTGACCAGAAAAGTAATTTTAAGATTCGGGCGAACCAATCCAGAGCTGGTTGGAGCATTAACCCTTCAAGGAGAGACAGAGTTATTTTCACTTGTCCCCAAATTTCGAATATGGAAATCTTCTCTCCTACTGGGCACTGAGACACGAAGACCCCAGGCTCTGAGGGCCATCCCTAGGGTTTGTGGAAAGAGAGAAGTTTTTCAGATTTGTTGATGATGGGGGCAGAAAAATAGTTATTTGTAAGACCCCATCCATCACATTAACAGGATGGCCATGTGGCGTTCACACCAAAGCACCCTTTGAAAACTGGTCATGTAGGGCTAAAATACGACATTTTGTATTTCTCTTGGCTTCAGCCAAACATGATCATTTATGTCAGAGAGGAACAGAATTTCTTCACAACTGGGCAAATTAAAAAAAAACTGCTTTTATCCTAGAGAGTTCCAATGGTGACAGAGACCATTTTCTGATGGGACTAGTAGATACTGTGCTGAAAGAGGGGCTTTAAAAAAGTCTGTCCTCTGGGGCGCCTGGGTGGTTCAGTCAGTTGAGCATCCAACTTCGGTTCAGGTCACAATCTCGCGGTTCGTGAGTTCAAGCCCCGCGTCGGGCTCTGTGCTGACAGCTCAGAGCCTGGAGCCTGCTTCGAGTTCTGTGTCACCCTCTCTCTCTGTGCCTCCCCACTTCACACACTCTCTCTCTCTAAAATAAATAAATAAATAAATAAATAAATAAATAAATAAATAAATAAATGAAATTTAAAAAAAAAAAAAAAAAAAGCCTGTCCTTTATTTTCAGGTTGCTAATGTGCTTCTGTCTTGGGTGGAAGTGGTGGGGAGGGGGCGGGGCTCCTGAAGGTATGAGGAGAAAAATACCAGCTTCCACTTAGTGCAAACTCAAGACTAAAGACCAATGAATGGACAGTTGTGACCCAGCACCTTCAGCCCGTGATTTCTGCCACTTTTATCCCGACTCTTCTTGGTTTTGAATACTCAAGGTAAACATGGAAAACACATGGGAAGATTTTTTAATAAAGCCATTGTGTTTTATGCTTTGGAAGCCAATGTTCACTAATGCGATATATTTTTATAATCTTTGCCAAACTGATACTTTATTTTATTTTAGTTTTTTTAAACGTTTTTTTATTTATTTTTGAGAGAGAGAGTTGTGAGCGGGAAAGGGGCAGAGAGAGAGGGAGGCACAGGATCCCAAGCAGGCTCCAGGCTCTGAGCTGTCAGTGCTGAGCCTGACGTAGGGCTCAAACACCCAAGCCAGGAGATCATGACCTGGGCCGAAGTCAGATGCTCAACTGACTAAGCCACCCAAGTGCCCTTCAAACTGGTATTTTAAAAAGAACAGTAGGGAACCATTTGCATGGTATGAATATAATCTTCAAATTGAGAACGAGTAAAAACAGCATCAATAATTGATGTTAAGAATTCCATCCAAAACGACAACACAACATAAGAGTCTATCCTCTGCCCTCACTCCTAAGACCTTATGAGCCTCCTCAACAGCAAGAGGAACATTCTGTATAATGTCAAAAGAAGAGGAACCCATTACAGGGAGAACAGTTTTAAGTATCTACAACTTCAAAAAATCCTATCAATACTAAGCTTGGTGAAAGGAGGAGCAATGATGGGACACTTAGGTGGCTCAGTCGGTTGAGCGTCCAACTTCGGCTCAGGTCATGATCTCGTGTGGTTTGTGAGTTCGAGCCCTGCATCGGGCTCCCTGTAGTCACTGCAGAGCCTGCTTCAGATCCTCTGTCTCCCTCTCCCTCTGCTCTTCCCCTGCTCACGCTCTCTCTCTCGCTCTCAAAAATAAAAATAATAAAAAAAATTATTGAAAAAAATGGGGGGAAGGGGCACCTGGATGGCTGAATCGGGTAAGCATCCAACTTCAGCTCACGTCATGATCTCACGGTTCAGGAGTTCGAGCCCCACGTCAGGCTCTGTGCTGACAGGCTGGAGCCTGGAGCCTGCTTCGGATTCTGTGTCTCCCTCTCTCTCTGCCCCTCCTCTGCTTGTGCTCTGTCTCTCTCTCCAAAATAAATAAACATTAAAAAAGATTAAAAAAAAAAAGGGGGAGGGGGACAACTGGGTGGCTCAGTCGGTTAAGCACCTAACTTCAGCTCAGGTCATGATCTCACGGTTCGTGGGTTGAAGCCCCGCATCAGGTTCTGTGCTGACAGCTCAGAGCTTGGAGCCTGCCTTGGATTCTGTGTCTCCCTCTCTCTCTGCCCCTCCCACACTTGCGCTCTCTCTCAAAAATAATAAATGTTAAAAAAAGCACTGATTAGAGGCCTGACAACTACTCAAGTGTCAGAACAGGTTACTGTCCTCGCTCACTAAAACACCAGCTTCTCTCTCACACTGCGCCTTAGTCACACACATGCCCAGAGCTCTCAAAGCTTCTGTGCCTTGGTTCCCTTTTCAGACTGTGCTTCACAGGAATCTCTCTCTTAAGGCCTGGGTGGCCAATGCGGATGTTTTAAGAAGAGAAAGGAAAAGTAGAGCAACACAGAATAAAGACCATGAAATACAAAATACGTGCTTGGGGGGGAACAGCACACAGAACACGGACCCTCCAGCTGTGCTGCCCCCAAGAAGCTGCCGCCTGTCAGGACTCCTGTGTGCTGGGGGTGCTAGGGGGATTACTTCTCAGGGTGAGTATTTTGAACGTGACTGAACCACACAGACTATCCAGGTCTTGCTGCCAGCTGGTGTGCTGCAGACATCATTCAGGTCCAAGTTTATAGATCAGTGTTCACTCTCCAGGTCTCTGGGCCCACCATCCCCTGCCCCGCTCCTCCCAAACAAAATAAAACCCTGTGACAAATGTTTTTACGTTTAACCTGACTCCAAGTTTTCTTTTAAGTAGTGAAAAGGAGTGCACTTTTTTTTTTTTTTAATTTTTTTTTTCAACGTTTTATTTATTTTTGGGACAGAGAGAGACAGAGCATGAACGGGGGAGGGGCAGAGAGAGAGGGAGACACAGAATCGGAAACAGGCTCCAGGCTCTGAGCCATCAGCCCAGAGCCGACGCGGGGCTCGAACTCACGGACCGCGAGATCGTGACCTGGCTGAAGTCGGACGCTTAACCGACTGCGCCACCCAGGCGCCCCAGGAGTGCACTCTTTAGTAGCACTTTTACAGAAAGGGAGGAGGGCACACAGAAGGCCTGTGTTTGAGCTGCGGCTCTTCCTCTGGCTATGCTTTGCTCTGGTTCGGGTCACCCGACCCCTTTCACCCAGTTTAATCATCAGTGGTAAAGGCAAAACGACATACAGGGCTGGCTTACACTACCACAAGCTGTACACATACCTACTCGCTGGGTTCCCACCGCAACCCTGAATTCCATCACTATCCCCGGCCTACACACAAGGAAACTGAGCCTCTGGGCCTTTACAGACCTGGTCAGGGTCACACCATCAGTGGGTGGTGGGGCCAGGATTCAAGATTCAAAACCAGGGAGCCTGACCTTGACCACTCTGCTCCGGAGCCTTCCACGGGGATGCCCACCAGTCACACCAGGCTGGGTGCGCGTGAAGTAAAATAGCGCTCGGGAAACTGCCTTGTGCACTATTCCTTGAGGCAGATTTCTCATC